AAGGCTTGGCTTCCTTTTACCTCCCCGTCATACACTCACATTGCATGATGTCAACTGCAATGATTTCCAGCCGAGTTCACACATTTATCTGCCTGCCAGCCAGCAAGGTGCACAAAAAGTGAAATCCACCACCTCTGTGTAAAAGCAATTGCTGAACACATCTTGACCTTCCGTCCCTATATATATAGCTTTTGATAGCAAAGGGAAGGGTGAACACTTCTGTGGTGTTTGCTTTGCTGTCTGTGCCTCTGTTCAGAAGATCTCACCTCACTTTCTGTCCCTGTGATCATTGGATTTTGAAAAACATGGCTTGTTGGGGAAAGGATTGACGACAAAGTTTCAGTGGAGACTCTTTCCCCCCATGATAATAACTCTTCCATGATAATAACTCTTCGAAGGATTTTTCAGGCATGGATTTCCCTTCTTAGGGCAGATTTCTCTCCTTGTTGCCTCACCTTTGTTCTTAACTATGAGGCGTTTGTAAGTCAGATGCTTGTAATTTGGGGACAGTCAACCCTCCAAATTCCATTTCCACCTTACTTCTCCTATGTCACCGTCTGTAGCATTCATTCTTTCATTGATATTTTTTTAAAAAATAGGAGGCCAAAGTGTGACATTTGTGTGGCTGCCATGTTATAATTTCCATCACAAAATCTATATATATATATAAATGCTCAGTGCATAATAAGTACCCTAAAAACAAAAGAACCAATGAACGAAATCACACCAAATTTGGCAACAAAACATCTCACAACACAAGGAGTGACCATCACTCAAAAATTATGATTTTGTCATTTGGGAGTTGTAGTTGCTGGGATTTATAGTTCACTTATAATCAAAGACCATTCTGAACTCCATCAACAATGGAATTGCACCAAACTTGTCACACAGTTCTCCCATGACCAACAGAAAACACTGGAAGGGTTTGGTGGGCATTGACCTTAGGTTTGGGAGTTGTAGTTCACCTACACCCAGAGAGCACTGTGGACTCAAACAATGATGGATCTGGACCAAACTTGGCCCAAGCACTCAATATGCCCAAATATGAACACAGAGGGAGTTTGGGGAAAATAGACCTTGGCATTTGGGAGTTGTAGTCACTAGGATTCACAGTTCACCTACAATCAAAAAGCATTCTGAACACCACGAACAACGGAATCGGGGCAAACTTCCCACACCGAACCCCCATGACCAACAGAAAATACTTAAGGTCATCCAGTCCAACTCTCTTCACCAGGGCAAGAAAATGTAATCAGAGCCCTCCTGACAAAGAGCCATTCAGTCATAAATATAGATAGATAGATAGATAGATAGATAGATAGATAGATAGATAGATAGATATGATTCATAGATTTGAAAGGGACCCCTAAAGAAGGACTATGATATGTTGCATATTCCAGAGTAGGAAAACCAGACAATCTCCACATCAACACTGACAAAGAAACAGCAAGAATTACTGTTTACGCACAAGCAGAAAGAAATTACATATATTAGAAACCAACACTTTCTCATTACTTTATTTTCCAGATCACCAGACTGGGCCACAGCAACGCGTGGTAGGGGACGGCTAGTAAAATATAATTTAAATGAAAATAGAAAGTGGCACAAAGGACAATTTGAGGAAAGCAACCACCTGCTAAGGTGTGGGTGGAGGTTTTGTTCCTTTCCACGGCTTTCCATTATAATTTCAGGTGTGCAACTAAGCCCAATAAAACACCGGAGAGTGGAGGCTGGTTTTTCTCAGAACTGTGCAACAAAATATTTCTTTCGAATTGAAATGGAGCCAAGGACCATCCTTCCTGCGAAGATTAATGTGGCATCCAGGCATTGCAAAATGACCACCAAACATAAAACCCACGAGGAAATCTGGCATTTGGCTAAATCTATCAATGGTGTTTAAAGCTTGCAAACCCAAGGGTGGCATTTCCTTTACACAGAGCCTTGAAAGGACGGACACCTGTCAGGGCGCTTTTTGTTTGCAGTGGGTTCTTCAATGCATTTGTTCTTCGTGCTGCAAGGGTTCCGATGAGCAATGGGCAAGAGACAAGGCTGCTTTCTCTCAAATGATGCTGCTCCAGATGCAATCCGACTTTGGGAGACTTGTCAAAGCCTTCATTGTCTTCTTAATACAAGCGCCTCTCTTTCTCTTTCCTGCTGTCACCAACCAGCCATCTTTGGAGGCAGGCAAAGAAACTGGATTTACTGTAGTGTGTGCCAATGTAAACGCACATCCATGGCCCATAGTAACCTTTCCTAAGATCCTGGAACTGTCTGGATGTGTTGGACAACACTGTCCATCATCCTGGGATATCTCCCAACTCACTCAAATTGAAAGGTTATCATTATTATTTGAAGCACATCAAGATGAGTCCACAGCAGACAAGATCACCTTGCTGGCTGTTGTATTGGATGACACATCGGACACTTCCCAAGTGTCTAGGACTGTGTGATGTATCGGCGAATTATGCATGCAGATCCAAGTAAGGTGGCCTTCTGCAGCTGGTAATTTATTTATTTATTTATTTATTTATTTATGTATTTATTTATATCCCGCCCATATCTGCCCGCAGGTAACTCAGGGTGGGATATAAATAATTTTGTCAGCACCGATTGTGTTTAAGTGCAGGCCAAGGTCTTCAGGCACTGCACTCAGTGTGACGATCACCACCGGGACCACCTTGACTGGCTTGTGCCAGAGTCTTCGCAGTTTAATCTTTAAATCCTCAGATTGTGTCAGCTTTTCCACTTGTTTCTCTTCAATTCTGCTATCACCTGGGACTGCAACATTGACGATCCATATTTTGTTTTTTAACACGATCGTGAGGTCAAGAGTATTGTGCTCCAAAACTCTGTCTGTCTGAATTCGGAAGTCCCAGAGGAGTTTAATGTGTTCATTTTCTGTAACTTTTTCTGGCTTGTGATCACACCAGTTCTTTGTTGTAGGTAGATGGTATTTGTGGCACAGGTTCCAATGAGTTATCTGAGCAACAGTGTTATGCCTCTGCTTGTAGTCTGTCTACGCAATCTTCTTGCAGCAGCTGAATTATTATTATTATTATTATTATTATTATTTGAAACACAACAAGAGGAGTCCACAGCAAACAAGATCACTCTGCTGGCTATTGTATTGAATCACACGTCGGACACTTCCCATGTGTGTAGGACTGTGTGATGTATCGGCAAATAATGCACGCAGATGATCATGATGATGATTATTATTAGGAAGTGTTCCACTTTCAAAAGGATCTGCTTCCTTGCAGAATCTACATTTGGGATCTGTCATCGACTTTTCTTCTGTAGTTGTTTTTATTCCAGTTGCCCTACAGGCCCATGCCCTGATGGCTCAGCAGTGGGTCCTGGTTCCTATAGCCCTCTTGTCGACAGGTGCCCAGGAGAAGCACTCACCGTGGTCCTTATTATCCTGGGCGATGACCGAGCCATCATAGACTTCTTTAGAGTTTGTTTCACCATATTTAAATGGGTTGGGTGCACTTCGTTCTACTTCTCAGTTGAGAATAATAATAATAATAATAATAATAATAATAATAATTTCTATCCTATTCAATTTGTTGTTGATCCACTCCTTTGGGCTTCACACAAATCTACCATTTGCAAAATATACAAGCCTGTGCTTTTCTTTTCCATTTCTAATAGCTTAACCAATGGTTTGGGAATTCTGGGAATTGAAGCCCAAAACATGTGGAGGATGAAACTTTGAGAACCATTGGCCCTGGTCAGTATCCGGTTGACTGGTGTATTGTCCACTAAGTCTCAATAGGGCCCTAGAATGTTATAATACTATAACACTACCTACCCTATCTATTTACCTATCCTATCCATTACCTATCCTATCTATCTATCTAGCTATCTATCACTTAACTGATCTACCTGCCTACCTATCCGACCTACTTACCTACCTATCTATTCACGTATCGTATCTACCTACTCATCCTATCTATCCTACCTACCCTATCGATCTATCCTATCTGCTTACCTATCCTACCTAACTACCCATCCATCTACCTACCTATTAATCTATCTACCTATCATATCTACCTACTCATCCTATTTATCCTACCTACCCTAGCGACCTATCCTATCTACTTACCTATCCTACCTAACTACCCATCCATCTACCTACCTATTAATCTATCTACCTATCGTATCTACCTACTCGTCCTATTTATCCCACCTACCCTAGCGACCTATCCTATCTACTTACCTATCCTACCTACCTAACTACCCATCCATCTACCTACCTATTAATCTAACTATCGTATCTACCTACTCATTATATTTATCCTACCTACCCTAGCGACCTATCCTACCTACTTACCTATCCTACCTACCTATTAATCTACCTACTCATCCTATTTATCCTACCTACTCTAGCGACCTATCCTACTTACTTACCTATCCTACCTACCTACCTATTGATCTATCTACCTATCATATCTACCTACTCATCCTATTTATCCTACCTACCCTAGCGACCTATCCTATTTACTTACCTATCCTACTTACCTACCTATTTATCTATCTACCTACCTACCTCTATCTATCCATCTATCTATCTACCTCTTTCTAGCTATCCTACCTTCCTACTTGGCTGCCATGGCAACCTTAAGTGGAAGGGCTGAGCAGCCAATCCTTGGATTCCATTGGGCGTTGCCATGGCAGCGAGAGGGGCCTAACAGCGCCGATGCCCAACGCTAGCGTCTTTTTTTTAATGGACTTCAACTCCCAGAAGCCTCCGCTGTGCTGGCGAATGATGAGGAATACTGGGAGTTGAAGTCCAAAAAAAAGTACCTGAGAGAGAGAAAGAACGAGAGAGAGAGAGAGGCGTCGAGGAGGGAACATTGTGACAGGGAGGGAAGGAAGGAAGGCGGGCCGCCATTTTGTCTCAGCGGCGGGAGGACAAAGCTGGGGGGGGGGGGGGGAGAAGGCCGGAAGTAGCGGTGAAAGCGGCGAGGCTCTCCTGAGGCGAGGGGGGTAGGCCTTCCGGTCTGGGGGTGGCGGCCTCAGAAGCAGCAGGAGAAGCAGGAGCCGCCTTTCCGCCGCCGGGGCTGGGCTGGGCTTCGCCTCGGCGGGGCGGTGACCGCGGCTGCTCCTCCTTTTCCTCCTCCTCCTCCTCCTCCTGTTCCTCCTGCTGCTGCTGCTCCTTTCCGAGGGGATTCCTCTCCCCTTCCTTTCCTTCCTCCCTCTTCCTTCCTCCCTCTTCGCGGCCGACATGTCGGGCCAGTCCATCACGGACCGGATCACGGCGGCGCAGCACAGCGTCACCGGCTCGGCCCTGGCCAAGGCCGTCTGCAAGGCCACCACCCACGAAGTCATGGGCCCCAAGAAGAAGCACCTCGACTGTGAGTCCAGGGAGGGAAGGCCTCCCGCTTGGGCCTGAGGGTGGTCATCATGATGATTATTATTGGGGGGGCTGGGGGGGGGGGTCTCGAACAGCTCCTCACCACCACCATCGTACTGTGTTCATTTTCAGCCTGTGGGTCTCCCTGGTTGGTGCCTCAAGAACATCACCACTGTCATGGTTATTGTTTTCTTCTGGGCCTCGTTATTTTGATTCTCTCTCTCCCCCCCCCCCCCCCCGGCAGTTGGGGTCTACAGCATCGTATTAAGGTAGATAGTTAGGATAGGTAAGGTAGGTAGCCAGATAGATAGATAGATAAGATAGGTAGACAGGATACTTAGATAGATAGAGAGGATAGGTAGGTAAGTAGGATAGGTTGATAGGATAGGTAGGCGGGATAGGATAGGTAGGTAGATAGATAGGAAAAGTAGGATAGATAGGTAGGTAGGAGATAGGATGAGTAGGTAGATAGATAGATAGGATAGGTGGGTAGATAGGGTAGGTATATAGATAGAATATTTCTATAGATAGGATAGGTTGATAGGATAGATAGGTAGGTAGGTAGGTAGGAAAAGTAAGATAGATAGGATAGATAGATAGATAGGATGAGTAGGTAGATAGGTAGAATAAGTAATAGGATAAATAGGTAGATAGGGTAAGGTAGGTAGATAGATAGATAGAATACATAGGATAGGATGATAGGTTGATAGGATAGGTAGGTAAGTAGGTAGGTAGATAGATAGGAAAAGTAAGATAGATAGGGAGATAGGATGAGTAGGTAGATAGGTAGAATAAGTAAGACAGATAGGATAGGTAAGATAGGATAGGTAGGTAGGATAAATAGATAGGATAGGAAAATGGGTTGATAGGATAGGTAGGTAGGAAAAGTAAGATAGATAGGATAGAGAGATAGGATGAGTGGGTAGATAGGATAAGTAGGTAGATAAGTAGAATAAGTAAGACAGATAGGATAGGTAAGATAGATAGGATAGGTAGATAGAATACATAGATAGGATAGGTAGATAGGTTGATAGGATACGTAGATAGGATAGGTAGGTAGATAGGTAGAATAGATAGGATGAGTAGGTAGATAGGATAAATAGGTAGATAAGTAGAATAAGTAAGACAGATAGGATAGGTAAGATAAATAGGATAGGTAGATAGAATACATAGATAGGATAGGATGATAGGTTGATAGGATACGTAGATAGGATAGGTAGGTAGATAGGTAGGATAGATAGGATGAGTAGGTAGATAGGATAAATAGGTAGATAAGTAGAATAAGTAAGACAGATAGGATAGGTAGGATAGATAGGGTAGGTAGGTAGAATACATAGATAGATAGGGTAGGTAGGATAGGTTAGTAAGTAGATAGGAAAGGTAGGTAGATAGGAAAGGTAAGATAGGATAGAGAGATAGGATGAGTAGGTAGATAGGTAGAATAAGTAAGACAGTTAGGATAGGTAGGTAGATAGAATACATAGATAGATAGGGTAGGTAGGATAGGTAGGTAAGTACATACGAAAGGTAAGATAGGTAGGATAGCTAGATAGAGAGATAGGATGAGTAGGTAGATAGGTAGAATAAGTAAGACAGATGGGATAGGTAGGATAAATAGATAAGATAGGTCTCATCATTGGTGCCTAAAACATCATTATCAATATTATCATCATCATCATTATTTTTCCTTTTTGGCTGAGAGGTCTCGTTGGCTTAAACAACATCATCATTAATATTATTATTATTAGGAGGCTGGTGGTCTTGGGGTTGGTGCCTAAAACGTCATCATAACCATCAACATTATTAGTATTATTTATTTGCCTTAAACATCATTATAATTATTAACATTATTATTTTTATTAGGAGGCTGGTAGTCTTGGGGTCTGTGTATTTTATTCTGGGCCTGGTTATTTTGATTTTTTCAGTTGAGGCCTACACAGCATCATATTAAATATAATGAAACAGTACTTATTATTATTTATTCATTTTGAGAAAGGTAGATAGGATAGATAGGCTAGATAGATAGAATAGGTAGGGTAGGTAGGATAGATGGATAAATAGAATAGGTGGATAGATGGGGTAGGTAGGTAGGGAGATAGGGTAGGTAGGTAGGTAGGTAGATAGATAGATAGGATAGGTCTCATCGTCAATGCCTAAAACATAATCATAATTATCAGCATTATCATCATCATCATCATAATTTATTTATTTTGAGCCTGGGAGGTCTCTTTGCTTTAAACATCATCATAATTATTATTAACATTATTGTTGTTGTTGTTATTATTAACATTATTATTATTTTTGGGAGGCTGGTGGTCTTGGGTTCTGTGCCTAAAGGCTCATCATCACTGTCATGATTCTTGTTTTCTTCTGGGCCTGGTTATTTTTATATTTTTCCTCTGGCAGTTGGGGCCTACAGCATCATATTAAGGTTAATGGAACTACCTATTGTTATTATTATTATTATTTATTCATTTTGAGACTGTGAGGTCTCCTTGCCTAAAACATCATCATCATCATCATCAACAACATTATTATTATAAAATAATAATAATAATAATAATAATAATAATATGTGGAGGCTGATGCCTAAAACCTCATCAACATCACCATCATATTGTATTCATTTTGGGACTGATTATCAATGTTATTACTATTATGAAGCTGAGTGGTCATGTGGTTGGTGACTAAAGCATTATTATTATAAATTATATTATTGTTATTTTTATATTTGGGGGCTAGTTTATCTCATGGTTGGTGGCTAAAACATTATTATTATTATTATTATTATTACTGTTATTGTTGGGTTGGATGGTATCATGGTTGCTGCCTATAACATCATCATCATTATTATTTGGGGGGGGGGGTTATTTTGTGTTTGGTGCTTAAATACTATCATCATTATTTACTATATTTGCAGGCTGAGTGGTCTCATGGCTGGTGCCTAAAACATTATTATATCACATCATATTATAGAATCAGGCCTGTGTTCTCTTTTCGGAGACTTTTATTGGTCAGTTGAATTGAATTGAAGCAAGCAGGGGTCAGGATTTAATCAGCAGCAGCCTGAACTCTGTATTGAAGCCCACTCAGTTTAACGTATCCTCCTTGTTTCATGAGTTGCATTTCGACACTGCTTTTGGTTGTCGAAATTGCTTTTGCTTGTTGTCCTGAGATTAACCCATTCTGAGAGTGGACTTTGATAGGTAGTAACAAATAGCAGCCTTATCCTCACTGTGGAAAACAGCCTCCACCTGGCTTAACCAGTTTTGAAATTATGCTCAAAAAGATTTCCTTACAGGTAAACAAATATGAGCAGTTAGCTGTAGATCACAAAAAGGATATCTCTCATTCTTGGGGTATTAGTTGCGATGTTTAATACCCTACTGGTAACAAATATATGGATATTTATCCCTTATTTGAACAGGTAGGACCAGGTGTTTCAGAGTTCAGAATATTTATACATACATGGTGAAGTATTTTGGAGACAAGACCCCCAATCTAGACATGACATTTACGATTCACAGATACGTTTTATGAACAATATTTTTGAAAATGATTATGTGCATGAAGTAAACTTTGTGTACATTGGAAAGCAAAGGTGTTTTGGCCATCCAAGTGGACCATTTTGCAGCATTTCGGAGCTACCATCCCATTTTTGTGCATCTGGAAGGACGTAACTTCTGAACTTAATGTCGGAACTGGTTACATGATTGCTTTGCACACAGGGGTTGGGATAAATCTGTTATTTGTTACTGATTGTCAAAGTCCACTCTTGAATGGTTTAAGCTCAGGGTGGCAAGCAAAAGGCGGGAGAGAAAGATTTACTGTTAAAATGCAACTAATGAGACTGGGAGGATAAATTCATTTGGGTGGCTTAAATTGCAGAATATTACAGCTGAAACATAAGCTTGATAATGAGTAGGGTAGGATAACGTGAGTGTTGGTGGGTAAAACAATTGGCAGGCAAAATATTCTCTTTTTTCCTCCTGTCTCATCCCTACAGGAAATTCTTCCTCTTCTTCTTTTAGCATTATAGAATTATAGGCTTTTGGAGTTGGAAGAAACCACAAGATCTGTTTAGTCCAACTCACTGTCATGAAGGCATATTAGAAAATGCCACTGAACCTCTGTTTAAAGACTCCAAAGAAGAGGAGTGCATCCTTACATCTGAGGCGTTTTAGGGCCTCCCACATTATCTGAGTATGGACTCAGATAACCCAGTTCAAAGCAGATATTGTGAGATTTTCTGCCTTGATATTCTGGGATATAGGGCTGTGTGGAAGGGCCCTTGGTGTACAGTTTTTACAGTTATTTTTAACTTTGTGAATAATTTTCTTACTAAAGTATGGAACCTTTGGTTTGTGTTCTCATCTCTAAAGCTTGCATAAAAGCAACTCATTCTATTGCAGAACTTGGTGACACTGATTCCTGTTGCCACATCAGCTCTGATTCTTGACCTGGTGTTTTTAGGGAAGACATAAACTTCTTACCTCTGAGAAAGTTCTTGGTAACCTTGTTGTGGCTTTGTTGGAGGGTCATATTAGAAACCTTAGCAGGAGCACTTTGCAACAGCTGTTCAAAAAGGGTGGCAAAGAAGTGGAGCCTAGGAGTGAGATATCAACAGCTATGGAAATCTGAAAGCAGAATCATGGCACTTGGAAGGACTGCATGTGGCATCTTGATATTCTGACAGTGAGAGCTGTTCAGCAATGGAACTCTCTGCCCCGGAGTGTGGTGGAGGCTCCTCCTTTGGAGGCTTTTAAACAGAGGCTGGATGGCCATCTGTCGGGGGTGCTTTGAATGCAATTTTCCTGCTTCTTTGCAGGGGGTTGAACTGGATGGCCCATGAGGTCTCTTCCAACTATGTTTCTATGATCTAGTCCAACCCTTTGGCATGCAGAAATATACACTCCTGTGTTCTTTTGTAATAGTATTCAGTATTGAACACACCCACTGGGATCCCCTTTAAATGCCAGCCTACAAAGTGTATAATGTATT